AAAAAAAAAAAAAATTGAGTCAAGAACCATTTACAAACAGTCGATTCACCCTCTTAATTAGTGTTTTTCAACTCTTTTTGCTTTAAGAGAAAGTGAGACACTGGTAGCAGAGTCTTTCTGAAACAGCAGAAGACGTTCTGAAGGAAATTGGAGGCTGAAAAGGTTAGCAGCTCAAAAAAAATCACGTGACTTTAGAAGGTTTCATGATGTGAAATTCATCTTTGAAGTGTTTCCAGTTTGGCAAATTGTTGCACGGTTTATACGGGGACGGGAAGATTGTTTAATGTTTATAAGCCGGATGGTGCTAAACTTTTTAGCTTTTATTTATGTGCCTGGGTTTTGGTCTTAGTGGCCCTTTGAAATTACTGTTTTGTGGTTAATGTTCAGTGTCCTCGGTTATCAGAAGTTGCTTTCTGTTGTTTCTGAGTCTGTAGATGAAATTTTTAAAATAATTTTACCAGCCTAAAAGTTTAATATTCAAGACAAAACCAGAGAATTTTTTGGTAAGAGAAAAGTCTCTCAGACCTGGAAATCGTTTGCAATTGAATCAGAGTCTTAGGTCAAGGACATGAAGGGGAATGAAAGTGAGATGAAATTTGGTTTATAATCTCTAACCAGTGGTTTTCTTTCTTCCTCGCCTTTTCCTCTGTTACTTTTTGATTTTCAGCCTAATGGATCTTCTGAGTCTTTTTTGATTTTGACGGCAACAAGAACAGTTATTGTAAAAATAAAGGAGGCGTTTATTTTGTTGGTACAACGAACAGTTGTCACCGATAGGTCTTGACCTGTCAGTTTAGGGGTTGTGTTAATTTTTGCCGAAGCAGAAAGGAGAAGGGAGGCATTTTAAGACTAAGAAAGAAACGTTATTGATATTTTTGTAAAGGCTTCAGTGGACGGGAGGATGACGTCGTTAAAGTGGAGGACAAATTTGTGACCAGTGAAAGAACATTTTATCGCTGTGAAAGGATCGCATCAAAACTGTGCCCTTGTTTCTGATGTGGGTTGTTAGTTGTTTACAGTTGACTACTACGACTGCAACTTTCTAAATTATTTGTCTTAGCTCGTTTAAATGTTATCGAAGAAAAACTGTACTTATTATCAGCAAGATGACCATAAATTATTGGTTCATTATCACCTTTAGGCAACAGCATACTAACCTTTGGTTCCTTCACTTTCTTCAGCGTTGCGTACCCTTTTACTGTTCAGATGAATTCTGTTATTTTACTTCACTTGACAGAGGCTCCGTCGTATTCGCTTTATTTTATTTTTTTTGCTGCACTTTTAGTGTTTTAGCCCCTGGAATTTTTATTTCTGTAGCACTTGTTCGCTCATAAGCCGACGTTTTTCCGTCGTTGATTTGAAAGATTCAGCGATTCTTTTTTACTTCTGCGATTGTTATGAACATTGACAGTCATTTTTCTTCTCATTTTTCAGAAGAAAAGAAGACAGAGAAATTTAGAGAAATTTTTTGGGAATACTGGAAATTGATCAAATTCTTTTTGGAGCATCGATTCAGTAGTACTTTTTGTAAACGTTTAGTTGCTGCAAACTTTTTTACGCTGTATCAGGGTCAGTTACGTAATAGATTAGCGGGAATTAATAAATTTGCATAGAAATGGGAAAGTGAACACTGGGAAGACAAGATGCTGTTCAGTAAAGGCTTGTGGGAAGTTGGCCCTATCAGCTAAAGAGTTAGACCAGGTAACTTAGTTGATTGATTGCTTGGTATGATGGCATGGAGCGGAGATGAAGGCGATAGTCCATTGGTTGGTGTAGAGGCCAAGGGAGCGGACACAAAAGGGTTTTGATGGTGACAGCGGTCGACGGTCGGTATAGGGCAATGTTTCGTCAGTCAACGGTATTTTGGGTTGGGAGTAGAGCAGAGAGAAAGGCAGTGACAGAGGGAAGAGTGCGAGTGCAGTGGATTCGGTCTATGTAAATGTTACATTTGCGTCCGTTGCGAAGGTTTGGCTGTCGCCGCGCCGATGTTCGTTCACATATCGGCATCCATCTATCCATTTGTAGACAAGAGTCTCGTTGCTTACTGTTTGGTTAGTATGCAGGATTGTAATAAAAGGAACGAAATGTGCAGCTAATTAAATAGCGTTCTACTTATAGTTGATATATTTTTCAGCTTAACATGTTTGGAGAACTCTGCACTACTTTATTGTTGTCAGTTTTTGTTATTTATTACTGTTATTTTGCGCCCGTATAACAAGTCTGAAACATTATTGATTCAGAACTGCTTTTGGGCAGTTGCTGTTTAATGGATCTTTTCTTTGCACTGTATTTATAGTTAGTGTTAATAGAGAAATATCACTAAAAGAGAGATTTTTCATATTCGTAGATTCTCTATCACTGTAGTGGCGGTTTGTACATAAATTTGCAAAAGTCTCGAAGGTTTTCAAACAAGTGAGTATGGAAATCAGAAGAAAATTGTTGAGAGGGGAGAGGTAAAGGGACAGAGAAAAGTGAGAACAGAGTGTAGTAGAGAGCAACTTATCTTAATTATTTAGCGAGTTACGGGGCCAAAGAATTTGCTCAGATTTAAAAAAGAGCTGCCTTTTTTTTTTTTTTTGATTTTCGCTCTGGTTGTTTTTTTCAGAGCGTGCTTAAAGTTGGAGTGTTTTTTTGTTTTGGAGCGAGCGGTAAAAATTTACCATAAATGTTGTCTGCAAAATCAATTTTTTCGCGACTTAAATAAATTAAACTTGACTGATATGCTGCATTAGTGATTACTGTTCACTTTTTTGAGTGCTAGAGCAACTACGAGTTATAGAATGAATGTAAGGGAGATCCCCGTTGTTGTTGCAATTTAATTTTGGAATTTATCGAACATTCAAAACAGTTGCGGCTTATATTTAATTGCCAAATCATTTATTATTATTTTTTTCCATTTTAGAATGCGCTTATTTGATCACTGTAGGATATTGACAGCTTTGAGTAGCCTTGCATGCGTGATGCCAAACAAATACTTTGTGTACATTTGTGTATTTGCGTGTGTGGCATGCATTATGGAAAATGAAAGTTAATGGTGAATATGTTTGAAATTAAGGCACCTGGCTGCTTTTAGTTCCAGGCGTGTATCTGGTCTGCAACATCGATTTGCAGTCTGCTTTTATTACTTTACCCACTTTCATATTAAAGTTCTGCAGTGTTTAAGTTAATTCCAAGATAGTGTTTGATACAAACTGATATGATTTTTGTTTTTTACTTTATTAAGGAGTAAAAGGGGAGACAGAGTTTATTCTCAAAGTCTGGTAGATTTTTTTTAAAAATTAAACAGGGAAAACTTCAAAAGAGTTTCTTGCATTTTCAACTGGCTGTAAAAGACTTTGTCGCAATTTTTTTTGAATTTTTACTTATTTTAGCTACTTTGCTGCATATTGGAGTGATATATATATCACTTTGTTTAGTGATTTCTTTTTTTTGTTTTTTTTTTTTCAGAGTCAATTGGACTGCATTTGCCGTTGAAATTTTCTACTCAGTGTTGTTCTGAATGGGCACTGCTGAATTAGACTTTAAAATGGAATCAGATCCGCTTCTTTCAAGCCACGATCCGTTTCTATTTGAGAGTGATGCTATTGATTTTATCAGTACCAAGGATTTGAATGATTTGAAATTGGATTTTCCTGTGGATTGTTTTAATGATGAGTTGGATCCATCATTTTTGGATGTTGATTGCTTTGCAAATGAACTTTGTTCACAGATTGATGCGCAACAACAAGAAGATGTCGCTGAAGAAGAGCATTCATATGCTCATTTACCTGGTTTGTAAAAAGTTCAGATCGTTAATTTCTAGCTTTATTAATTAATTAAGCCAAACATTTTGATTAGACATCCAAGGTTTTTTCTAATATCGCGAAGTTGTTTCAGGGTCTCCAGGATCAAATCACTCTGCATTTAGTGGTACTTGCTCTACATCTTCTGCAGAATATCTGCCACAATCATTTCAACAACCAGTCGATATACTCCAGGTAGTGTATTCTTAAATATTTTGTGGTTGTAAAGGGAACTTTGTTCTTGGTATAGCATAATATATTAAGGCTGCCAGTAGTGAAATATTTGGTGAAACTGCTGTAGAATCGATTACGCAAGCAGTCAACAAATCTGCTGAGCAACCCCCAAAACGTTCTTTCGGTATCAATAAACCAAGGACAGTGGTTCGGTTTAGTAGGTTTTTATTTGTCTGTAATTAAGTTTTTTGTTTCTGTAGAGGAACCAGTTTAGTATTTATTTCACGAAGCTCTCACATTTTCTAGGGAATTTTATTCCCAGCTTTCTGATCGATTTGAATAAGCTGCTTTTAAATACAAGGGAAAAAGAGCTCAGTCTTTTGTTGGTCTCTTCTTCTTTCTATGATCGATGTTTGAATTTCACTTTTTTTTTATGGAAAAATTAATTTTTTATTTTGTAGATGCTTTGTTTTTCCAAATGTTGAAAATTTTTTGCTGCTTTATTTTTTCATTTCAATGTAATGAATTTGTGATTTTTTGGTCTTAATTGCAGTTTTTGAGTATTATAAAATTTTGGTTTTATTCTTAATTTTTTCACTGGGCGGGGCAGTTCTGTTCATAACAGTTTTTTGCCTTTTAAGGTTGTAGCTGTCATTGTCTGAAGAGAATAGAGTTGATTTGAAGGTGTTTTTCTTTGCGAAACAATATTATCGTTTATTCATTATTTCTTTTTTTTTTTTTAATAGTGAAGAAGGAGAAAGGGAAGGGAAGAAGATTCATCACTATCAGTGAGATAGAATGATAGAACTTTTGAAAATTATATTTTTGTTCTGATTCATTAGTAAAATTTTGTTGAAGTAATTGCATCCATATAGGGGCAAATATTTTATGGTCAAGTAATCCTCACGAGCATTTCATTTTCATATTTAGAACCTGCAGCACGTGGGGTTTCTTCCTCAGCAAGCTCTTATTCTTCTGGAGCACAGTCTCCTGCTTCGATTTCGTTAAGTTCGGTCCAGTCATATAATACTGTACCAAGTGTTGCGGATAGGACGGTTGTACGAAGTGGGCTACAGCTGAATGCTGGTTCGTCTAACTGTTCTTGTCAGTTACACTTTAATTGTTCTTTTTTCTCAAATAAAAAGTTTTGATTGCCACTTAGTTTCAACTTTAAATTTCTCAGGCAGAAAAACAAAGTATGAAGCACTCAATTTAACGGAAGAGGAGAAAAGATTATGTAAGAAAGAAGGAATCTATCTCCCAGACCACTATCCCCTAACAAAGGCTGAAGAACGAGAACTCAAACGCATTCGCAGAAAAATTCGTAATAAGCGTTCAGCACAAACAAGTCGGAAAAGGAAGCAAGTAAGATAAATGTCTTCTGAACATTTCTACGTATGCTTGCAAAGTCAGACATATCATGCCATCATTCTTCTGTTTCGTTCTTTGAACTTTGCCAATAAATTTTGGGAATTTTTCGATTTGGGAAATTTTAAGATGGAGAAGTTTTTTGGCATTTTTCAGTTGTTCAGGAAGTATATTTGGGTGATTGTTATCAGTCCAATATCTTTTTTGTAAATTTTGCATTTGTCATTTAGTAAGCAGTGTTGACCATTGAAAAAAGAAACATTGAAACATTTGACTTCGGTGTCGTTTATTAAGTTAAGATGGAACTTGAGGTGTCATTAGCGAGACGGTTGACGTCTAAAAACTTTGTTTAAGAACGCAAAGCTAAATTACTGAAGATAAGTTGAAAAGTGCAGTCATACAGTATGCTGTGACTTATGTGAGACGCGGCACCAGGTGTTATGTTACTGTGTGCGAAAGATATTTAAAGTTGTATATGTTTGTTGAACTCAGTGCATTCACACTTCGGTTAGGCAGTTTTGTTATTGAGACTGACCGTTGAACCGCATAGTGAACTTCTGCTTTTCTTTTTTTAACAGCTCTTTTTTATTTAGTTTTCTCGCCGTATTCTTTTTCATCATCACGTTTGTGGTCTTTGTTCTTCTCTCTCTTAACACCTTTATTTTACAAGAAAATTTGTTTTTTTTTTTACGATTTTTGCTTGAATAATCATTTTAAATAAGTGTTGAAACTAGATAAGCAGCATAGTGCCGGAAACTACTTTTTTTTTTTGAGTGTCGAGGTTGGTTCGTGTACTTAAAAGGAAGGCGTTGCATTTGGTCTTTGTCTTATTTTTTTTTTTCAACTTTCTTGTAACTAATGTCAATGCTTTTAAAAAGAAAAAAAAAAATACATTACTGCTACGTCACCGTTAAGTCCTTTTTGGATTTGTTCCAGCCACCATTGGCTTAAAGCGAACATGTTTTAGGATTATATAGAAGCTTTGGAGGATCGGGTGGAAGACTGCAGTCAGGAAAATATGGAACTGAGACGACAGGTTTTCTGTGCATTTGCTGATCATACTGTTTCTTTTGTTCGTGGATGAGGGGTACTGCTAAATGCAATGGGAAACTGCGCATTTATAAGCATTATTAATTTCTCAAGGCATTCCTTGACAAATTTTTTTTGCCGTTTAATTACTTCTTTCAGGTTGAGCATTTGCAAAAGCAGAATCAGACTTATTTGTCGCAGCTCAGAAAACTTCAAGCAGTTATTGCCAATAGTGCAAAGCGGAACACGCATGCGAGCACCTGCCTTGGTGTTCTTCTTTTGTCAGTATGTCTGCTCGTTGCTCCAAATCTTTCTCCTCTCTCCCAGAATCAGGAAGTAGAGTTAGACGAACAAGCACTTGCAGCGCAGCTCAATAATAATCAAGATATAAAACGAGCCCCATTTGCTGGTTAGTGTCAGACAGTAATAATGAAAGGACTTTTTTGGAAGTTTTTTTGGTGAACCTATGGATATTCATACGTTGTAAAGAATAATGGCGTTAACTTGTTCAGGGCGCTCGCGCACACTGATGGAATTTGTTGGGGCTGGTGCTGACCAGAAGAACATTGTTTGTTTGGAAGAGGAGGAGGAGAACGATGGGGAGGGTGTTGTCGCCTCTAACAGGTATCGTTTTCAGCTTAGAGAGTTTTATGGTTGTTGTGCGTTTGGAATTTCCTGTAAACTGTTTGATGTGTAAAAAGACTAAGGGTTGGAACTTGAAAGTGTTTGTTATGTGCATTTGTGTTAAGCTTTTTGAAACCGTTTTTGGTGCAAGCTACCCGAGTTTTTTTGTTTTTAGACCTGTAGTGCATAAGCAAACAAATAACCGGAATGCACCGAAGCTTGCTGGCGAGGAAAGTTATGGTAATGGTTACAAAAGTCCTAACAATGGAACATTTGGCGGGTTGTTGGAAAGACCTCAAATAGACAGTCGAAAGAGGAACATTAGTGAACAACTGTTTAATCCTAAATACCCGCTCAAAAAAGTCGCTGCTTTTTCTGTTAAGCCTAAAAAGGCCTTAAAAATTGAAGACTATAGTGGTTCTGTATCAGATGACACACCAGTTCAGTATGTCCCATTAAAGCTGACGAACACAACAAATAAGCAGTTGTACTTACAACCAACCAGTTTCAATGGGCCTCCATACAAACGGATAAAAATGGAGCAGTTATAAACATTTTTCGTGGATTCCCCAGATGGAGGGTAATTTTGTAAATTCGGTGGTTCAGTAACTGAGTACAGCTGCTCAATTTGAAAGTTATAACGTTAGTGATTGCTGTATTAATTATCTTTGGAGGTTTTATGTATACCAATTGATTCTCATGCTGTCAGCTTTTTCTTCTGGATTTTTGTTTTGATATTTCCCTTTCAGAGTGTCAGGACGTCGTTTAAATTGTTTAAAGCATTTTACGAATTGTTAGTATTTTTTTGTAAGTTTATGACGGTTTTTTGTCACTTGGGGTTTTAGATAAGATTCTACAGTTTAAATTAAATTACCATAAATTTTTTCATGCTTTTTATACATTGAGGTACAATAAGCGAGAAGGCTTTTTGAGGCTTCTGCGTATGTTCGTTCGTGTATTTTTGTGTGTGTGTGTGTGTGTGTGTGTGTGCGTGTGTGTGTGTGAGTGTTTCTGTTTGTGCGTGTGTGTGTGTTTACGTCTTTTTGTTGTAGTTTGTTTGTTAACAGTTTCAGTCGAGATTTGCTGTTTTTTATTCATTTGATTAACTGCTTTCAAAGAGAGAGGCAATTCTGTTGTAGCTTTTCGCGGATGACTTTGTTTTTTTTTCGTGATTTGTTTTGTTGAGTAGTGAATAAGAGAAAATAGCGAGCGAAAAAGACAAAAAAAATTGTTATGGTTTTTTTAAATTTTTTATTGCTTTACTAGATTGCCTTGTTATATTTTTAATATGACTATTTTTTTCATCGGTTGTGATTAACATGGGGAACGGCCGAAGTGCAGAGATTATTGTTTGAACACCAGCAACCGTGCTTTGAACTTGTTTATAGTGTTAAAGCTACTGAGTTGATAGTTTCAGTGCTAGGCGTACAGAATAAGTTAAGTTTGATGAAGCTTGTTGGTTATTGTTATTGCGAATGTGTTGCTGGTTTTACTGAATTGTTTTTTTTTTTCTTAAATA